GTGGGGCGCGCAGCGCGAAGCCGGGCGACATCGCGTCCAGTCGGGTACGATCAGCAGGTCGGCCTTGCAGAACCTGGGGCACCGTAGTCTCCTGTCTGCCGCGGTTCGTATCCTCTTGTGTGCGTGGGTGGGGGGGGGACAGGTTGCCTTTCGGAAGAGACTTATGTCCTCTCGGGCGTCCTCTGCAGTCAGTCCCGACTGGAGGCTGCCTCTCCTCTCTCCCGCATCCGATCCCCCTCCTCACCACCTGCCTCCGCCGCGCGCTCTCTCCGAGTGCAGTTCAGCGCGGCCTGCTGCTGACCTGGACCGCCGACCGACTGGCCTGCCTTCCTGCTGATGTTCCACGTCCTCCTGATCCTGATCTTCCTCTTCGTCCTCCCTCCCCGCCTCCCTCTCTTGCGCCGTTGGCGCCCTCCCGCCGCCGCCAGGCCTCGTTCCTCTCCGTGCTCACCGTCAGGCCCGCCGGCTAGGGGCGGGGCGGGCTCTCTGGCCCCTGTGGTCGGTATCGTTTGCCCGGTCCCCATCCCCATCCCCATCCCCTTCGAGACCCCCGCCAAATTCCCACCCCAGTTGGGGATGCACCGTTCGAAACCCGAGGGGGACGACCTATATATCCGCATCTGGGAGAGTAAATCGGCCAGTGGGGCCCAGGCCACGCCGCTGGGGATGGGGATCAGTTAAACGATCTTGGCATCGCTCGGACGTGTGCATTTTTCCGTCGGCGAGGATCATCGAGGAGCATCCTTGATCATTTGACGAAAAAAACCACGCACGAAACTGAAACTAGTACGGGGATTGGCCGTCTGAGCGGTGGCTTGCGATACTCATGTGGGGGGGCGGAGAGGCGCGGCGTCGGGGAGGCGCCGCGCACGGCGCCGCCGCCGGGCGGAGCGGCGAGCCGGGGCGAGCCTCGGACCCGCGCGGCGGGCGCAGCAGCGAGCTCGGAGGACGCAGAAGGTATGCCGAGGCCGCTGCCAGTCCTGGAGAGACCTCGTCGGTCCAGGCCTCCCGAGTTCCTGGCGGGGAAAGGCACCCCGACCCCGACGATTAGCGTTCACTAGACGGCCCCGGGTGTTTGCTGAGCAGCCCTGCCCTGTTCGATTTCTTCCCTGGGTGCGTGTACCAAAGGGCTTCGCTTGTTGGGGTGTTTCTTATGGTGGTGGGTTTCCTGCCCTCTGCAAATGAGAGGTCTGACCAGATGGGGTCGGAGCATCGCGCCCCATCGCCGATGCATCGGCGATGCGGCTCGATGTGGAGTCCGATCTTCTCCACGCCGACTGCGCCGACGCATCGCCGACGTCGCCGATGCATCGCCGATGCATCGTTGAAGCACCGACGAGGCGGCGCGATCCTCCGACCCCATCTACTCCGACCCCATCTGGGAGGCCTTTAGTCGGCACGGCTGGATCCACCTCGGAATTCTCAACGCTCATCCCCAGCAGCCCATCGAGGAGCGCTGCCCAGTGGAGCTGTCCTGATCGGGGGAGCGTAGCACCACTCGAATACTTAGGGGAGCCTCAGTGAAGTTGGACTAGAGGCCTCTTGGACGCCTCTCGGAGTCACGCGGGTTGTTCTCCTGGAAGGCTCTTGGTGGCCTCTTGGGGCATCTTGGGGGGCTCTTGGGGGCTCTTCGGGGCTCTTGGGGCATCTTCGGGGGCCTCTTTGAGGCCTCTTGGGGGCCTCTTGCAGACAGTCTGGTAAGTCGGTATGATTTGAGAATTCGGCCCGAAGTCTCAAATCGCACGAAGGCGCCAAACTGCCGGTCCAGCCAGGTCAGGGGCCGTCGACCCAGCCAGCCTGGGGAAAAGGGGTTCGGCGGCAGGTCGCGGGCGATGGGCGCAGCGTCGGGCGCCCGAAAGCCAATGCAGGGGCCCCCGCAGACGTTGACGAGGGCTCCCGTTCGGAAGTGTCACCCTCGCCCCTTATGATACGGGTTGCTTGTTTTCGGGAAATCTGGAAGCGCCTCCGCACAGGCTCTCGGATGGTGAGATTGATGTTTCGCCGCGACTTGACTTCGAGGATTTGGTGACGTAGGCGACCACGCGAGTGAATACCTGTCATGCGTCTTAGATGCGGGAACTGGTTTCAGCAGAATGGAGGGCAGTTCCTCCTCCACCTTCACGGCAGTCCCCCCCCCGCTGCTTTGCGTGGATGGATGTTGTGACCCACTATCGACCTGTAGGTAGTTGAATATTCCATCGATTCGGATACAGTAGTGAGGCCCGCCATTGATGGTGACGCCCACAATTTCTTTGAATTCGTTTCTCGGTGGTGTTCGAGCCGCGTTGTGCAGTCTAGCTAGTGTTATCCCCCATGCAGGCAGTCCAGTAGCTAAGCCTCACAATCAGCTGATCCGTGATGGATGCACCATTGAGGTGCTCTTTTCCGTCGTCTACAGCATCGGGAGACAGTTGTTTGCTGTTCCTCTCAGGCGACAAGGGGCTCAGCGCTGTTTGGGAACAGCTGGGCACACCATTGTCGCCCCGCCTGAGACATCCTGGCAATCTGCTGTGTGTTGAGTAAGCCAGACAATGAGAAGGTCTGAGTACGCCATGGGTAGGTCTGAATAGGAGCAAGTCAGTGTATGAGTACGTCTGGGAACGAGTCTGAGTATGAGTAAGTCAGGGTATGAGTCGGTCTGGGTATGAGTAAGTCTGTGTATGACTAAGTCTGGGTATGAGGAGGAGGAGGAGGAGGAGAAGGAGAGGGAGAAGGAGAAGAAGAGGAGGAAGGAGTAGGAGGGCTTCCAATAAATAACAAGAACCCCATCTTAGGATATGGGGAACATCGTCAAAACATAGTCTGGGGAGGATATTCCGACTATGTTTGATTATGTTCGAGCATTGGCAGGGTCTTTTATTTTGTTTCCTCCTAGATCCGCCGGCAGGGGGACGCCCGACCTACACATGCGCAGAGAGGGAGGTGGAAAGAGAGAGAGAGAGAGGCGAGAGACGAATGGAGAGGCAGAGCGTCAGAGAACATTGCACCCTGGCGGCGCGCGGGCATCGAGTCTTCTCGGATGCTCTTTCGGCACGGCGTGGCACCTCGAGCGGTGCCAGGCCCGCTCCTCCCGCTCCCCGCCCTCGGCACGCCCTCCTGCGGTACTCCATCTCTCCTCCTCCTTCTCCTCCTCCTCTTCCTCCTCCTCCTCCTCCTCCCCCTCCTCCTCCTCGCCCTCCTCCCCCCCCTCCTCCTCCTCCTCCTCCTCCTCCTCCTCCTCCTCCTCCTCCTCATCATCATCCTTCCTCCTCCTAGGGCCGAGCGCATCGCTGTGGTGTTTGACCCATCAGGGATTCTCTCTGTGTTACAGCCGGGCTGAGGTGCAAGATCGAGGTCTCTCCGGGGAGGGTACCCTAGTTTCTCTTCGTGATTATCGGATGTTCTTGTGCATCCTGGGGAGGGTACCCTTGGATGTTCTGTGTGTTCTTGCCGGTGGAGGGTCGCATGTCCCTGATAGGATGTTTGTGATTCTGCCCCACGTCCGATTGTACCTCGGGATCCCCCGGCAGGACTGAACTTCACCGTTACGCTTGTCCTCTCAGGCCGCGAAGCACAATATTCGAAGAAGAGAAAACGCCATAAACATAAACCGTTTGCGCTCCGCGCGGATTTCTTGGATCTGCGCTGGACCCCCCTTGGCGGCGCCTCCAGCGCCGCCCCTGGCGCGCTCCGCGCGCCAGGGAAGGGGGTCCAGCGCAGATCCGAGAAATCCGCGCGGAGCGCCAAAAGTTTATGGTTATGGCATTTGTTTTTTTCTTCTGAGTATAGCGCCGTCTCGGAAAGGAGGGAACTTGAAGACGAATGGTGTACAGTGGGGGCCCATGCCGAGAAACACCCTGCTTGCCTCCAGGGTACCCTGGGTGCCTCTGGTTTCGAGGGCTTTGCCATGGAGAGCCTGACGTTCCCGCGCCAACAGATTCGATGGACGTCCTTTCGTCTCAGGGCTGGGTTTCTTGTGGCAGGTTTCCTGTGGTCAGGCCCCCACTGTATGAAAGGTCTGTTTTCCACCTCCACTGCCACCACCACCACCATAAGTTGGAGGGGGGGAGGGGGGAGGGAGGCGGAGAATGAGGAGGAAAAGGAGGAGGAGGAGGAGGAGGAGGAGGAGGAGGAGGAAGAGGAGGAGGAGGAGGAGGAGGAGGAGGAGGACCCCCTCCCCCTCCTGCTTGTGGAAGGTCTCTTGTGGACTGGCCTCCACAGTACGCCAATGCCCGCGCTCGGGGCCCCACCAAAATTTCGGCCTGCGCGGGGGGGGTCCCAGCAGGGGGGGGGGCAGAGACGCTCGCCTTCTTCCCCGCGCTGCGCCGTTCGTGGCGCGCTGCTTCGGCGTCAGGAGCTTGTCCTAAGTCGGGGATGTCCCCTCCTACAGGAGGAATGTTCAAACATAGCCCAAACAAATAAAATAATATTGGGAGGATGTTTCGACAATGTTTGACTCTGTTGGGGCATGTGTTCCATTAATTTGGCATTTTCTCCCAGAATCCGCCTGTAGGAGGACATGCCCGACCTAAGTCAAGAGCTTGTTCCCACGAGCATATGACGAGCAGGGGAGGGATCTGACCCCGAACGTGGGCATCTTCTGGTACATCTTCATCTTGGCCGACCCCGCCGCGCCAGCGCTTGCTGACTCTCCCAGCCGCCACTGCATGATCCGGAAGAGAGTGCAACGAGGTCGTAGGGGGGGCATCAGGGTATCCGCGCACCATGTGTTGCGCAAGGAAGACTGCAAGACACAGAGGTTAGATATTCCGTGCTTTGTCGGGATTGAGAAACCAAGTCCCATAATTGCGAGCAGAGAAGGCGGTTTAGCCAAAAGGCTTGTGTGTTGAGGAGACCTTTCGTCGGCGCCTGCCGAGACGTTTCCCGAACATTTCAATCTGGGTATTGTGTCATCTGATATGGTGATGTTCGCTGTGATATTGCACAGTTCTCCACCGTCTGCGGCAGATATTTTCCAGGTGCACGTAGTATTTACATGAGACATATCCGCATCGTAGATGTGCGATTGTTGGAGTGGCTGTTTCATCTCAGGGTGCGGCTTCCCTCCGTGACCTGCCGCAGCCCCCATGGAGCCTGTTCAACGGTCGGGCTGCATGTTCTATCGAGGACGTCTCAGGATCGTCTATTCAGGACGTTTGTCTGGCCCGTCTATTCAGGACGTTTCAGGACGGCCCCAAATTTTCTCCAGTCGAGCTGATGACGAAACCTCCTCTCGAAAAGCTGGGCCAGCGTTTCTCATATAACCAACTTGCTGGAAAGCCGGCCCAGCTTCTTGAGCAGGTTCGCCACTTTCAGCGTCAGCAGCAGACATTGGCCCAGCTTTGCTTTGAGAAGACTCCGAGCAGCCGGCCCAGATCTCTCGAGCAATAAATTGCCGGATCATCCGTTCGGCTGCAGGCTGGCCGCTCCGCCCAAACGCCGTGCTCCTCCCCCCCGCGCTGCTCGCCAGATCTTCGACCGGTACCGCACCCTGTTCTTGGCGCGAAGGGGAGGGCGGGGGGCCCGGGGTGTTGCAGAGCAATTCTCCCGAATCGAAGAAGAAAAAACTGTATAAACATCAACTTTAAGCGCTCCGCGCCGATTTCTTCGATCCGCGCTGGGCCCACCCGGCGGCGCCTCCAGCGCCGCCCCTGGCGCGCTCCCTGCGCCAGGGAGGGGGGTCCAGCGCAGATCCAAGAAATCCGCTCGGAGCTCCAAACGTTTATGTCTATGCCGCTATGCCGTGTTCTCTTCGTCTGCTGAAGGTCGGTCACGGCTACAAGTTTGAGCACACATTCAGGGGAGGAGGGGGTACATTCCGTGCGCGGGGCAATGCGGTTCAGCGTTGGTCATGCAGGGGGATGTTGGCTGGGAGGTGGTCGGATGTTTGTTCGGCCGATTGCTTGCAAAGGAGATGATATGTCAACGTAGGGCGACGGGAAAAAGTAAAAGGGATGTGGTACGGAACATGTGAAGGATCCTTTCCCCCCTCGTCTTTGGACCTTATCAGCTTGATCTTTTTTCCCGTTTTGTTATTTTCTCCAATGGGAAGGAGGAGCAGCAGGAGAAAGCGCAGGAAGTGCAGGGATTTCCGGCCCTCTCAGCTTCAGATTTCTCTCCAGGAGCAGCAGCAGTAGGAGGAACCGTTAGGAAGTGAAGGAAGATTCTGCTAGTAGAGAGGGGCCTAGATCGAGACCGGGACGTGGAGAGGGAGAAGGCAGATAGTGGAGGAGGAGTAGGATTGGAATTTGGAGGAGTCAAGAAGTCAAGGGTTAGCGGCCGCAAACGTGAACCTTTGGAGGCGCAATTATTTGCGTTGCCATGAGAAGCGATAGGATGCACCGCCAGCGTGCCCGTCCCAGGTACAACGTTCAAGCGACGTTGGGACATCAATTGCATGTCGTCCTGTTGGAGGAGTTGTTGGCAACGTACCGCCTTTCATGGTCATGTATGTTTCCTAGACTACCTATGCGATCGTAGTGTGCCAAGTATTTGTTAGCGTCGAATCATGGGGCACGTGCGAGTTTTCCACCGGCCGACCTCGATGCGAGTTTTCCACTGGCCGCCCTCGATGCCCCAGGGTCATTCCGCGTCTGGCCGGCTGACGTCCCTTGTTCTTGTTCTTGTTCTTGGGAACGAATTCCCCGGAGCCCCTGGCCCCGAGCGGCCCATACAAATTGGCGGCGCTTGTCTCCGCAGGCGCAGATGTGGGGTGGGGGCGGTCCAGATTCAGGAGGGGAAAAATCACAGAGACACAATTATCGTCGATCCCGAGGAAAAGATTGGAAAATATTGGAATTGGGGGGGAAGACGAAAACCCATAAAATATGTAAAAATATAGGGGGGGTCCTGGGATTTGTGTGCATTTATTTGTGTCCCTGGGCCCCTTCACAGATGGGGCACCAGGAGGGCATGCCCTCGTGAGCCTGCTCATGGCCCGTGGAGGCGGGCGGTGGTCGAACGGCTGGGGCGCCCGAGCGCGTAACCACCTTCTGCGCTCCTGCGGCGCCTTCTTCCGCTTCCCCCCCAGCGTTTCCATCCTTACCCCCCCTTTTCCCCCCCCCTCCCGCCCTCCCTCCCTCTTCCTCCTCCTCCCCTCCTCCTCTTCCTCCTCCTCCTTTTCCTCTCCGTTCCCTCCATCCTACGGCACCGTCAGGGATGGCGGTGCCGCAGGATGCTGTGACCTGGAGTGGTTGCACACCCGCGCGCCGAGGCTCAACGCCGCCTGGGCCTACCTCCTTGCTCCTCCCCCCTCCCTCCTCGTCCTCTGCCCCCCCCCCCATCCTCGCTCCTCCTCGCTCCTCCCCCCTCCCTCCTCCTCCTCGCTCCTCCCCCCTCCTCCTCGCTCCTCCTCGCTCCCTCTCCCTCCTCCTCGCTCCTCCCCTCGTTCCTCCTCGCTCCTCCCCCCCTCCTCCTCGCTCCTCCCCCCTCCCTGGCGGGCGCCTGGCGCCGGCAGTTCGCTTACCACGCGCAGCTCCTTTTCTTTCCGGTCGCGATGCTGACGCGGGTCGCCCGCCACAG